AATTTGACATGACCTTATTTCCTTTTATCTATTCTAATATAATTTCCTTAATTTTACATTTATTGTAGCTTTATTTCTTTTATTTATTGTAACATAATTATAGCGTCGTGCACTACTCTTGGTGTTTATACATTTCCAAGAAACAAGGGAACAGGATCCACTATTCTAAGGTATAATGGTAATGTATGTAATGTATGGTTTAGAAACAACACTACTCGGCACGCTAATCTAGAGTACGGTAATCTGATGTTTTCTTAGCAATTACTCATTTTTAGCTTTCGCGGGACTACCTGCCACAACCTGACTTTTAGCTCTCCCAGGAATAGGGAAAATTTAGTTTTCCCAGGCCGACACCCCATGAAGACCCAAACCTGTTAGACGCCTCTTATGACAAGCATGGGTTGCTGAAGACCAATTCTATCCTGGATCTTTGGGTTGTAATAGGTTCTTCTATGCAGGAGTGAGTGAGTGAGTGGGTAAGGTTTTTTATAGTAATTTTACCTATGTCCCAGCAATATCACGGCAGGGGACACCAAAAATGAGCTTCACACATTGTACCCATACAGGGAATTGAGTGACGTCTTCAACGTGACGAGTGAAAGCTTTAACCACTTGACTACCCCTCCACATTTGCTATGCTGGAAGTACCCGTGAAGGTCCGGGTTAGAATATTGATCTTCAGTAACCCATGCTTGTCGTAAGAGGCGACTAACGGGATTGGGTGGTCAGTCTCGCTGACTTGGTTGACACATGACATCGGTTCCCAATTGCACAGATCGATGCTCATGTTGTTGCTCACTGGATTGTCTGGTCCAGACTCGATTATTTACAGACCGCCGCCATATAGCTTGAATATTGCTGAGTGCGGGGTAAAACTGAACTCGCTCACCCCTATGCTGGAAGTGACTTTTGACTGGTGGGGCAGCATGTGATCATACCTTGACAGCCTTGGACAAAGCTCGATGAATCACTGGATAGTCTAGGTAATCCAGACTTGACTATTTACAGGATGGATGAGGCACGGAAACAAACGTCAAGTTGGGAAAATTGGTGAACATCAGACTTCCTTCTTGGATCCCAAACATTATTCTTGAAAGTCCTCACAATTAATCACTAGATAGAGGTGAGGTGAAAGTGGGTTTAACATTTCGCTCATATGACGACGTGCATGCGTGTGTATGTGTATGTGCGGCTGCTTGTACTAGCCCAGACTGAAGCTGGTTTTATAGTGCTAGCCCACTGAGATACCATGCCGTAGTGAAGCATGAATACCCCACTCAGACACATTATACTGACTCCGAGCCGACCAGTCCTTGTTGTACCCATTAATGCCGAGCGACCAACAAGTACCATATTTTAACGTGTTTTGTTATGACGCGGTCGGGGATCGAACCCACGACCTTCCGCTCTCCGGGCGGACGCCCTAACCACTACACCACGGAGGCTGTCAATCACTAGATAGACCAACATAATAAAATTGCCTCACACTGTTACAAATAGCTGTCTGCATGTCGCCTTGAACATTCCAGTCATTCTTGCCCAGTCAGGAGTGAATGAATGTTGCTTTAAACTGCAGTCAGCAATACACCAGCTTCCACAAGACAGCTTGGCGCTGATACTTCAGCAACATTCCCCTACACCACATGGGACGGTGCCATTAATATTCAGTCATGTCTTTGGTGCATGGAACTCAGGTCCTTCATGAATTCAATTTGTTACAATCACTATAACTGAATATTCATGAATTCATAAAGAGGTTTTTTTACATGAACCTGTTATTTGTTAAAGCAGTATATGCAAAATGGAACATATCCAAGTCATGGAGGATAATAGTTAACAACCTTATACATTTCATTAGACAGTAAACTAATATCACTGGTCATTGTCATGACATATGAGACCGTCATCATCGTGGTCAAAACCTGTCACTATACGTATCATTGGACAGAACATAAGAAAAAACCCATCACTGGTGACAAGTTATTGTATTTGTATTTGGCACCCTATCTTTCTTATACATCTCATATTCTCATCCTCATAGTGGGTTTGCTGCATCACATGCTTCCATTCATGTGGCAAAACATGTCTGTGTTTGCATAAATCACCAACAAAACTGTTTTGTTTAGATGTAAAGGAGGTACATGTTGCTAATGACAAATCATTGTTGCTGACAATATGTTAAAATGAACCAGGTTTGTAGATGAGTGAGTGAGTTAAATGCTGTTCTAAACTCTGTATATCATGGTAGTCTTACTAGCGCTGAGAAAGGTCCAAACTGATGTAGGTCATAGAGTGATTGAGTGAGTTTAGTTTTGCGGGTTTTTTTTAGCAATATTCCAGCAAAATCATGTTAGGGGACATCAGAAATGGACTTCACACATTGTGCCCATGTGCATGGGAATCGAACCAGGGTATTCCGCATGATGAGCGAACGCTTTAACCACAAGGCTACCCCACCGCCCCGTAGGTATAAGACATTTAGACTAACGGGATCGGGGTGGTCAGGCTCGCTGGCTTGGTTGACACAGGTCATCGGTTCCCAATTGCGCAGATCAATGCTCATGCTGTTGATCACTGGATTGTCTGGTCCAGACTTGATTATTTACAGACCGCCACCATATAGCTGGAATATTGCTGAGTGCGGTGTAAAACTAAACTCACTCATAGACATTTCCTTAACCATGAAACCAACAAGCATGGGGACTGTGCTGTAAAACTCATGATCACATGAATGTGATCTTTCACACACACCTGGATAGTTTGTGTTTGACAGAAACATAACACTGGACTTCAAAGACTATATTTTAATCACTTTATACATCTTTGCACTCCTTGCAGTATAAAAGTTACATGTGAGGTTCAGTCTCCTATAAGATGTGCATAGTACAAAATATTCATAAACATGTAAAACCTTTTTGTTTTCATAAATGGCAAGTGTATCACATAATATATTAACTTACTGAAAGGCTTGAAACTCATGGCTTCATCATTTTATGCCAAGACAAATGAACAGATGGCACCAATTCCAGCTCTTCCATTCAAAGACTTCTGCAGTTTGGTATTGCTAAGACACAGTGGACAAGATGGAGCTACAGATTGGCATCAGGACTTCAATTTGCAATATTCAACCATTAGGCCAGACAAATTTTATTTCTTTTTTTTTTTACAGATTTTGGTCCTCAGAAAACCTAAAGGCAGGAGGAAAAATAAATAAAAATAAAATCACCAGTCAAAGTAATATTCCTTCTAAATACTCAAAGTATTTTACTTTTAGCCATTTATGAAGTGCATATGGGGCAAAAAACAATCTAAAAAATTTTTCTTGTAAGTTTACATTTTTGGCCAATAAAAACATTAGGATTATATTTTTCGAGTAGGGAAAAGTACTATTATTTTTTTTCTTATTCTTGAAAATATACGACAGGCGGATCCGTAAAACAAGAAATAAAATTGGTCTGGCCTTATCTGAGAAAATCCTGAATCACGTATCCATATCTGGATCCATATTATAAACCATTATGGGGGAAAATCACTGATCAAGTATCCATCATGAGTGGAATATTGCTTGGTACTGGAGAGATCACTTGTTTAACTTTGTAATGGTCAACAACGTAAACACTTTGGCAATCTGCATCTGTTTAGTTGTATCTTGCCTGTAAAATTCAAACTTGTACAGTAATAATAAATTAGGAACAGTGAAAGATGTAAATAAACCATGTATAAAGTGTTAAAACAATCCAATAAACATTTTGAATACACCTTCATGGAACCGTGCAGAGGCAGTATTGCCAGGATTCTACAGTGTACAAACAACCTAGAGATTATTTAATAAAAACAAAGAAACGCTACATTCCCCATTATACAATACATACCATACATATAACAATAACTGGTATTTTTCTACTCTACCAACATAAATCAAATCAGGAACCTCTCCTCTATATAATATTCTATGATTGTTTACATAATGGAAAAACCAGAGTTACTTCCCTTTAATCAAAATTAGGTAGAGTTACTTCCCTTTAATCAGAAGTTGGATTCTCAGTTCCTGTTCTATGCCTCCATATTTAATGATATTGTTCGAGACGTAACTCCTTCACAACAAAACAATTATTTCATTCTAATGGTGAGACAAACAAGCATCATTTTGGATACCCATCTCATTAAATATAAGTATTTATTTTCAATTACTTAATCTATCTAAGAAGTGGATCAGCAATAACAACTCTTGTAAAAAAAAGCAAGCAACAACTCATAATTAAGGATAATCTCATCATGCAGAATAATAAAACATTATCAGAACCAAACCTCTTGACAAGCACATATATATATAAAGACAAACATACATAATGGTTGACCTATAATGGTATCTGGACAGATGAATGAATAGCAGGAACAACAGAATGACATTGAACTACATAGTGAATAAATACCATATTATGCTACAATATTATCAAACAGACGATCAACAAACAGATCCTGGTAAATCTAAACAGCAGAGCTCTATAACATCCTGCCAAGTGATAACATTTATTGATGAATAAACAAAAGCAGACAATGCATAAACATCCCCACCATTTATAGGGGCTAGTTGACTTCTCCTTGTACAATTTCGCCTATAAAACAAAAATCTAATCTGTAAAGTTCAGATTTTACCTGTCAAGAGTTTCTGAAATAGACACCCCCATGATCCACTTGTTGAACAACAAGAGATGCTTAACCTTCAGTTTGGTGGAAGAAACACTCAGGTTACAAATTATCTCTTTAACAATCGGTACATTGTGAATGTTCTGCTAAATGAATAAGGTGGAAAGACAAAATGGCCACATTCATGCTGTGATATACTTATAAACTCCTAATGACAAATTCCAGGACCAGCTTGTTTTGCATCAGTGTCGAGAACTGCATCCCAGTCTCCTTACATATACACACAGCGACACAACAAGTTTCACTTCATCACATGACCATGTGCACAACACGTGATCATCATAAACTGGTTCTTTCTTAGCATGGTGCAGCATGTACAGTGGTTGTGGAACAGTTCATAATGTGGTGATACAGTCGTAACAAAGAAGTCTTGTTTCACTTCCTATCCTTCAGGACGACGCTGCATAAGCTGACTGAATTTGGTTTTACGCCGCTTTTAGCAATATTCCAGCTACATCACAGCGGATGACACCAGAAATGGGCTTCACACATTGTACCCATGTGGGGATTCGACCCCAGGTCTTCGGCGTGACGAGCCAACGCTTTAACCACTAGACTACCCCACCGCCCCACGCTGCATAAGAGGAAAGTTAACTCCGATGAAGCTCTTTCACAAAGTCATCTTAGCACTACAACTATTGTAAGCCTTCAGAGTTCCGATCACCTTAGCACTAAGGAAGCTCAGTACAACAGGGTCCAAGACCCTCTTGCATAAACTGATTTTACAACTGTGACTGTCGTAGGTATGTTATATATTGTAAGTCTGTCATACGCATGGATTTTATGGTCGTAACATTAAGACTACTAAGACTATCATTAGTCCAAGTTCAAGTATGCAAGTGGCGATGGTCTTAGTGATAAAACTATCGTTGGCCCATGTTAAAGTATAAGGGTTACGAAGGCCTTAGTGCTGACTGTTGTAAGTCTGTGTTCAGCATGTAGTTGTATGGTCGTAAGACTATCATTAGTCCATATTCAAGTGTGCAAGTGGCGATGATCTTAGCGCTAAAACTAGTGTTAGCCCATGTTAAAGTATATGGTCTTAGTGCTAAGACTGTTGTAAGTCTGCTAAAGCATGGAGTTCCGATAGTCTTAATGTGAAGGCTATGTTTAAGGATGCAAGTTACGATGGTTTTATTGTTGTGTGCTAGTGGAAACACTTCCACAGTAACTGACAGCTATTTCAAACTACTAGCACCTTTAATATCATACAGTAAATAATGCCATTTATACCTTAAATTCTTTCAGAACCAAAAAATGAGTCCTTGAAGAAGAAAAAGAAAAGCATATGAGTGGTACTCTTTGTTCAAATGACTAAATTCACCCTCGGAATCTTACTCATTTAGAAATACTTGGAAATAACAGAAATGAACAGTTCTTCAATTTCTAGTCCCAGATATTAAAAATCTTGACAATGTTAGATGACATTTTATAATTTCCTTCTGCAAATGTATAATTAAGAGGGAAAAAAACTGGAATTGAATTGAAACAGAAATTAACATTCTCCTCAGGATATAATTCTGGACACCAGTGCCAGAATGACTGTTGCTAGGACACCAGAGGCCACATGATTAGTTCCACCAACAAGTTGCTCCGCATTTGGGTTGTTCGGGTCGAAATAGTAGTTGCCATTGAGAACTTGCCTGTAAACAAACGATAATACTGAAAATATCTCCAGCAGATACTTCAAGACATCACATAGTATAAACAAATAAGTTCAAAGTTTTGTACTGTGAAAGGTTTCAAGCCGTATTTGGGATATCCCATCAAAGGCAACTTGCAGTCATGCATACACACTATATCAGCAGGAGGCGATTGCAACTGACCTGATGACAATAGCCATTTGATCTGATGGCAATGACAACCCACCTGATGGCAATGACCCTTTGATTGGATGGCAATGACTACCCACATGATGGCAATGACCCTTTGATTGGACGGCAATGACAACCCACCTGATGCGATGACCCTTTGATTGAATGGCAATGACAACCCATTTGGCAGCAGGGCTATTTGACCTGATGGCTATGAATGCCCACCTAATGGCAATGGCCATTTGATCTGATGACTACCCACCTGATGGCAATGGTCCTTTTTTACCGGATGGCAATGACTACCCACCTGACAGCAATGGCCATTTGATCTGATGGCAATGACTACCCACCTGATGGCTATGACCATTTCCGCCAATCCAATGAAAATGTCGCCGCCTGGTCTAAAGTAATGTCCGAACTGTCCCTGTATGTAGGACACAACTGCGTTGTTCAGCCTCAGTGCTGCTGTTTGGCCGTATGACACAAACAACTGAAACACAATGATAAGATTAATACAGGCATGTGCCTATCACATGCTCACAGTGTGACATAGCATCACATGACATGTAATACGATAAGCTTCACAGTCACATAGTACTCTTTACACTTCAAACACTCTTCAAGAATGTCAGCTTAATGTGATCTTGGTGAAACCACAAATACAAGTATAGTTCAGTCCATCCAAGGAAAACAATAAAGAAAAGTCTTGGATTCAAGGCAATGGCCATCAGATCCTGTCATAGGTAAGGCACAAAACTCTCCATAGCATACAGGACAACTTCCACATAAAATTGTCAGCAAATCAAAAACATTTTACGACTGACAGTACTAGACTAGATCTAAACCCAAACAGTACTGTGGAAATGAGGTGACACAGGATGGAACCCAGAACCTACCACGCCATCATCCCGGGAGAAGAATATAACCACATCGTTGTTACAGGTGCCAAAATTCCAGTGCTGGCTCTGAAGTTTCAGAGCAAAGTTGCTGGCGGCCTGCATGGCGGCAGTGTCAGGGTCATCAAATCTGGAACAATCAGGTTATATGAAACCCAACTACTTTCTAAAATGCTGGGTATGAGACTATTATCTTGAGGAAAATAATCACAATGAATAAATATGATTGGAAGAAGAGCAAATAAATTTATCCGTAGTTGTTCTTACATCTATCCTAAGTCTATGTTTAAGTTTTCGAGTTATGTTCACCTAAGATCGCTTTGGATAACAAATGTAGTACAATCACAACACTGTTCAACAATGAATTACACTTAACATTTTCAGCAACATTGCACTCAAATATGTATCTCATTAAAACTCAAATGAATAAGAATTTATCATACCTTAAAAACTACTCACCCTAACTGTATATATATATAGACAAGCTCATAAGGGCACTCATTTCCTAAGCACTCAGTGTTATACTACGGACTCACGTTTCTGCTAGCTTCATCCTGTTGACGAGAGCTACTGAGATGTGAGTTCCCTTCCTGGTCCTCTCACACCAGTAGGTGCTGCATGGGCAGACAGTGTCGTTGTCGTACGCACCCCGCAGCAGCCAGTCAAGCAGCTCCACTGTCACCACAAGGAACAATAACATCTCAAACAATGCATTCACAACTACTTCACAGTTACCAAACAAGAGGAGCCAGCATATTTCTTCATGGATCATCAGATTGTGCTTAATATCGCTATGGGCAACAACAGATGGATATCACATCTACACAATTTCACATACTCAAAGATATCGCTGGAATATTGCTAAAAGCGGTGTTAAACTTTACTCACTCACTCATTACTCAACATGTTTTGCCTGTTATTCTCAATAGTATGTCAGGACTCATGGCTTCTCCAATTTTTAACAGTAGGATTCTGACATGGAATTCTTCCTATTTTCCAACAGTGCTAGAAATCTATTGATGTTCTCACCACTCCTGGCAGACAGGATGCCATCAGGGTCACACAGGTAACCTGGCTTCTGACCCAGCCGGCAGTGCTGTGGGTTCCTCACTGGGTGGGGCATGTCCTCCGGGTTCCACTCATCTGGCCGCTCTTCATCGTCAAGCTGACCAATCACAGTGTGACACATGACCACTAGCACCAGGACACATCCATAAAGACGCAACATTGTAGCAGTTTACACCTCAAGGACAACCTGGAACAAAGGAAAGGATATATTGATCAAATAGGTAAACTGAAACGCTCAGTACAGAGCATAGGATTCAACAGCACTTGTGCTCACAGTGATCTGAATTTTAGCAAAGTTACCGACAATAATTACGCAATGTTAGTCCAGAAAAATAAATCCATACACTGTTACACCCACTAAATTGACCAGCACAGAATGTTATCCTACATAACCAACACAGAATGTTACCCTACAATGAACCAACACAGAATGTTACCCCTACAATGAACCAACACAGAATGTTACAGCCCCAAATGGGCCAGTACAGAATGTTACTCTGCAAAGGACCAGTACAGAATGTCACCCCTGCCAATGGACCAGTACACAATGTTACCCCTACAATGGACCAGTACACAATGTTACCCCTACCAATGGACCAGTACACAATGTTGCCCCTACAATGGACCAGTACACAATGTTACCCCTACAATGGACCAGTACACAATGTTACTCTACAATGGACCAGTACACAATGTTACCCCTACAATGGACCAGTACACAATGTTACCCCTACAATGGACCAGTACACAATGTTACCCCTACAATGGACCAGAACACAATGCTACCCTTACAATGGACCAGAACACAATGTTACCCCTACAATGGACCAGTACACAATGTTACCCCTACAATGCACCAGTACACAATGTTACCCCTACAATGGACCAGTACACAATGTTACCTCTACAATGGACAAGTGAACAATGTTACCCCTACAATGGACCAGTACACAATGTTACCCCTACAATGGACAAGTGCACAATGTTACCCCTACAATGGACCAGTGCACAATGTTACCCCTACAATGGACAAGTGCACAATTTTACCTCTACAATGGACCAGTGCACAATGTGACCTCTACAATGGATCAGTACACAATGTTACCCCTACAATGGACCAGTACACAATGTTACCCCTACATTGGACCAGTACACAAAGTGACCTCTACAATGGACCAGTACACAATGTTACCCCTACCAATGGACCAGTGCACAATGTTACCCCTACAATGGACCAGTACACAATGTTACCCTTACAATGGACCAGTACACAATGTTACCCCTACAATTGACCAGTACACAATGTTACCCTTACAATGGACCAGTGCACAATGTTACCTCTACAATGGACCAGTACACAATGTGACCTCTACAATGGACCAGTACACAATGTTACCCCTACAATGGACCAGTACACAATGTTACCCCTACAATGGACCAGTACACAATGTTACCCCTACAATGGACCAGTACACAATGTTACTCTACAATGGACCAGTACACAATGTTACCCCTACAATGGACCAGAACACAATGTTACCCTTACAATGGACCAGTACACAATGTTACCCCTACCAATGGACCAGTACACAATGTTACCCCTACAATGCACCAGTACACAATGTTACCCCTACAATTGACCAGTACACAATGTTACCCCTACAATGGACCAGTACACAATGTTACCTCTACAATGGACCAGTGCACAATGTTACCCTTACAATGGACCAGTGCACAATGTTACCCCTACAATGGACCAGTACACAATGTTACCCCTACAATGGACCAGTACACAATGTTACCCCTACAATGGACCAGTACACAATGTTACCCCTGCCAATGGACCAGTACACAATGTTACTCTACAATGGACCAGTACACAATGTTACCCCTACAATGGACCAGTACACAATGTTACCCCTACAATGGACCAGTACACAATGTTACCCCTACAATGGACCAGAACACAATGCTACCCTTACAATGGACCAGTACACAATGTTACCCCTACAATGGACCAGTACACAATGTTACCCCTACAATGCACCAGTACACAATGCTACCCCTACAATGGACCAGTACGCAATGTTACCCCTACAATGGACCAGTGCGCAATGTTACCTCTACAATGGACCAGTGCACAATGTTACCTCTACAATGGACCAGTACACAATGTTACCCTTACAATGGACCAGTGCACAATGTTACCCCTACAATGGACCAGTGCACAATGTTACCCCTACAATGGACAATTGCACAATTTTACCTCTACAATGGACCAGTACACAATGTTACCCCTACAATGGACCAGTACACAATGTTACCCCTACAATGGACCAGTACACAATGTTACCCCTACAATGCACCAGTACACAATGCTACCCCTACAATGGACCAGTACACAATGTTACCCCTACAATGGACCAGTACTCAATGTTACCTCTACAATGGACCAGTGCACAATGTTACCTCTACAATGGACCAGTACACAATGTTACCCCTACATTGGACCAGTACACAATGTTACCCCTACAATGGACCAGTACACAATGTTACCCCTACAACGGACCAGTACACAATGTTACCCCTACAATGGACCAGTACACAATGTTACCCCTACCAATGGACCAGTGCACAATGTTACCTCTACAATGGACCAGTACACAATGTTACCCTTACAATGGACCAGTACACAATGTTACCCCTACAATTGACCAGTACACAATGTTACCCCTACAATGGACCAGTACACAATGTTACCCTTACAATGGACCAGTGCACAATGTTACCCCTACAATGGACCAGTACACAATGTTACCCCTACATTGGACCAATACACAATGTACACAATGTTACCCCTACAATGGACCAGTACACAATGTTACCCCTACAATGGACCAGTACACAATGTTACCCCTGCAAATACAGTAGTCATAGTAGAGGGTTTTCTGCTTCAAAATGTTAATTGGCTAGGGTTGTTCTCTATTCACCTACATCCCAATTCGCCTACAGTCTTAAAACAACATTTCTGTTGACTGTTGACTACGCAATGATAAACTAGTGGCACCCCTATGATCTAACAGTGGACTCTTCTTGTTGAAGTAGTTGATGGACGAAAAGAAGTTTTAAAGAATTTATTTATTTCTGTTACAATGAAATGATAATTTATTTATCATATACATTTATTTCTGTGAATATTTTTACGTACGATGAAGATAACTAGATCTACCATTTCTGATATGCATGCAACAGTATGACGATCATGACATTTAGTAAACATTGATATTTTCACACAAATACATTAATCCGACATTTTCATTAATCCGACATTTCCGTTAATCCGACATATATCTCTGCAACCACAGGTGTTGGATTAACGAGAGTTGACTGTATCACATCATGCCATTTTCTGATCACAATGAAATGATCATTTATTTACAAGGCAGTGCAAAACATACACCTGTGTCCAGAGACTAGGGCACACGTAAAATGCAGAGAGTTTTATGGGTTGTAGTCAAAAGGGCCAAAAGAAAGTCAAAAGGGCCATAGACTTCAAGAACATACAAACTAATATATATTTTATGTTTTATTGAACTACTGCAACAACATGTAATGAATTTCTTTTAATCTTTCTATTTTCTAAAAGTTTGGCCCTTTTGACTCTCCCTTGGCCCTTCTGACCTGTTCCCGAGTTTTACTATTCTTATCACAGGTAACAATTATTCATTACATACTCACTCCTAAAAGCTTTTTGAGCAAACTGAAGAAATAAACTACTTTGAAAAACAGAATGTACCAGAATGTTTTCAACATATTGTGATACACTGCTTATCTCTAGTTACTGATACACACAATGTCTCCATAGCATATCAAACAGTGACCATAGATTAACACTACAGAAACGTGAAACGTTTCACCTTCATTTTGTAACAGCATAAACCAAGAAACAATTACCGTGACATATCAGCTTTGTATAATTTTTGTTAAATCTAATTAAATAACAAAGATTAACGTGAAAACACTCCCATAATGAGTGTTGGTAACAGAAGTTTGGTTTGGGTTCGATGTTGTTTAACGCCACACCCAGCAATATTCCACAGGGCTCCAGATAATTTTTCATGATCAGAGTAATGCATTCTTATTTTTCAATATAGGAGTACTGGAAAACAATAAGAGTACATTTAGAGTACTGAATGGAATTTAATGGCATATCAGTTATCTTGTGTTTCGTTTCATATATGCACCACAACATTGCTACTCTTTGTGTAAACAGGTCAGTAAACAATAAAACAATACTTTTTAGATAAATACGCCTGTAAATGATTCTGAAACCGCACACCATTGCTGTGGTCCGTATCTGCTAATGCTTTTTAAAATTGTTTCCTACCGTGATTGTGCTTATGTTATATCCATACATACACCAATACGACCTTTATCTGGAGCTCTGTTCCAGCTATATGGCGTAGCGTCTGTAACTAATTGAGTCTGGACCCGACAATCCAGTGATCAACATCAAACATCAATCTACGCGAATGGGAATATGATGACATGTATCAACCAAGTCAGCAAGCCCACCACTAAATCCCTTTAGTTGCCTCTATGTCAAGCATGGGTTGTTCAAGACCAATTCTAATCCGGATCTTCACAGGTATCTAACACTAGTAACAGAAGTGATCTTGTACAAGCTGTTGACACTAAACATATGACACTGATGTTGTTGCTGCTGTAATATGTTACACATGAGAAAAAAAATTCACGTAACATAATACGTATGACTGTGTATGAGTAACGCTCCTTGTGGACGGTGATTCTCCTTCAAACTGCATGTTTGATCATAATGTTTATATCATCTCGAGTCCGGTCCAGAACGTTTTGAATAACATGGTGATAACTTCATTAATATGCCACCCAAACCTACCATAAACACGTTTACTTCAGCTACAATACAAATGTATCCAAACTCGTACACAATGTAACAAGTTTTCCACTTAGACGCCGGCACCGAATAACAGGTGCCCGGATATCAATTTTGGATCAGATATAAGCTGCTCTCCATTCCTGGATCAAAGAAAATAAGTACTATATCCTCGTCCAGGTTTGCAATGTCAGTTTGATTGTTCGTACTGAGGTATCCTACTCATGTTGCCATGTTATAAGTATTTTCAAAATGACAGAACCAATTTGACTTGCATCAAAAGTTTGGCACTTGATTCAGAAGATAAGTGGAACCATAGTTTGGATACGATTTCCCTTTCAAAGGAATATTCATTACGATTACGAACGGATAAGTCTTCAAGCAATCATTATATTACTTACCTAGAATAATTCAGACTACAAACAAATAAAGCAGATCAACTTTTGAAACGACTGCAGGCCCTCCTGTTCAGTAGCATTCCATACAAGGTTAGGCCATTTTTAGCAATGCCTCTCCCGCAGATCTTCCGCACCCAGCGAAGTAGGTCAAGTTTCCGTTAGGTATTCCTCACCACTAGCGTTAGTTATGTTTTCAATTCACAAACATCTGTTGAAAACCCTACATCTAGAAGGATCTTCGTCAAAACATATTGTGAAATAAAACGAAATGCCAAAGGTTAACTTTGACGCGCAAGTACTAATATCCGCTTAGTAGACCAGTACAATTAATATTCAAGAAAGAATGTGCATACAATTCAAAAACGCAAAAGGGAAAAATATAGAAACATAAAATACAAAATCAAATTTCATTTGAAATTTAGATACACGTTTTGGAAAGTGCATACCCGATAAAGACGCTATCCTTTTTTTCTAGACGCTATATTTGTGAATATATGGCTATTTTGATTATTGTTTTTTCCTGTTAGTTTCAGCAAATATAAAAGCATAGACCATCCAGATATGGGCCCTTGTAAAAAGTTGTTTTTACAAAATGTTTGCATCATACTACAATGACTCTATGTAAATACTTGCCCTTCACAAATCAGATGAATGTTTTGATATATGAATTAAAATCACTGAGCTCCTTAAAGTAAATTTGAGATTTTCCATCCCTTACCCTCTTCCAGTTTTAATAACTCGCATCACACGAGACTGTATACCACCACTAGACTAACAACTAATCTCTGAAATTATATGGTCTCTGCTGAAATGAACATATTTTAGGGAAAAAACAGTTCATGATATAAAAAATAAAATATAATGGAAAGGAACCCTGAGATTTTCTTCTCTTTTTCAGAAACTGTGGAAATCTAGACTTGCCACATATCTAGACTTGCATGGGCTTTCTTGGATATATTTGGTTCAGGGTCTGTATGGCAGACTTCACCACCACCACTGTCACCACAATTAAATGCGATGCATATAGAATTAGCCTTTGCGAAAATAGTATGAACCCACGGCAAAGGGAATCAACTCTTGTTGTTCAATCCACCAAGCTGTCAGATCACAAAGCAGTGAGTGTGTTGGGACGGGGGAGAAACTGCTCAACCGGAAAGACAACATGCCTCCCTCGCATTTCACATACGAAGGGCCATTTGTAGTCGCAAAGGAGTGTCTTTATTCGCCCTGTGAATACATCTGTATACTCATGAATACGTCAAACGAAAGGTGACACGTTAAACTTATCTGCTGGACGTAACTTCAACGGTATCTCAGGAGGAGGTGATTATTAAAACTTAAACAAAACAAAAATAACTTACACACAGTGGAATGTATATCAAAGAGAGAAGATACGTAAATATAGGATAAATACTGAGACCCACGCAAATCTTACTAAGAGAGGTAAATTACACATGTTGCGCATGTTTGGGTGTAACTACCTACAATTGTAGGAGTGTTACTATGTATTAAACAGACGATTTTTATACCGTACAAATTTAAAGAAACTCACCACAAGAAAGGCCCCCTTCCCCACCCAAAATAAAACAAATAATAAAAAAATAAAATAAATAAAAATAAAATAAAATAAGATAAATATATCAAAACATTCTCATGATCCCTAACCTGTGTTGGGTTCAGTATTTCTGTAGTGGTTGCACAGATGTAGTGTTATACTCAGACATATGTACATGTGCAGTTGAGTGACTTTGGTTTCACGCCGCCTTTAGCAATATTCCAGCAATATCGCGCCTGGGGACACCAGAAATGGGCTTCACACATTATACCGATGTGGGGCATCGAACGGGTCTTCGGCGTGACCAGCGAACGCTTTAACCATTAGGTTACCCCTCCGCCCCTCATATGTACACAAACTGTGACGGACTTACCAAGATAATCGTTCCCAGCTGAGATGTGAGACTAACCATTCTAAGCATATCCATAGTCTGTTTATATGTGTGTATATATATTTATACATAAAATATGTTCATTTCAGGGACTAGACGTTAAAGTACCGTCGGAAATAGAAAAAACCCTGTTTTTTTCACATTTATATCTACAATTTAGGTAGTTAATATGTGAAAGTGTGAAATATCTGTTAAACTAAATTCGGCCTAACTACAGTCGCAGTGGGAGGGACTGACTGAGTTTGGTTTTACGCCGCTTTTAGCAATATTCCAGCAACATCACGGGGGGCAGTGGGAGGGAGATAGGAAACGTAAAAGAAGGATTTTACTGAGGAGAGATTAGTGCAGAAATGAGCAATGCAAAAGTCCAAAGCGACTTATCTAGAACAGACCATGGCTTTATGCAAGTTAGCGTGCGATGATATTGTATTACCAATGACATTTTTTAAATGCCCATTTTGAAATTAGACTTAGCTTCATTATAAACGATAGCAAACGTAAAAAATAATAACTTTAATACTGAAACTATTAAGGATGTAACCACCATCGAGTCTCACTATCACTATAAAAAGAAACAGGTAGGAGGGGTCGTCTAAAAAAACCCAACCAGGACGGGTGTTGCAGACGGTGGTTGGAGTCGGACTGGGGGATAGAGATATCAGCTATACAAACTATAAGATAAGATAATCAATAGAGATATATTCGATGCACATGAACAATATAAAATATCTTTGAGCTGATGCCTTGTGCCTTTGGGCAGCACGTGCATTTTCATTCCAAGTGAGTCGAGGGTCCGTCGTCATACCTGGCTGAGCGACCTAATTGCCATCTATAGAAACAGTATCACTTTGATAATGCTCTCATACATCTGAAGTCGGGCTGCCATCTCTTGAGGTGTTGCTTCTTCATACCCATCCAAAATCTTCCTCCTTTCTTCCTCGTAAATCTTTGTCAGCTCTTCTCGTGCCCGTTTTGTTCACATTACTGGTATGGATATAGGAGCCAATAGAGCTATACTTCTGTACTTCTCTCAGTTGATTGCATTCACATAATTACCATTAATTGGTACAACTAGTTATCCCGGTTTTGACAGCGAAACTTCACACCTTAACGGATCAGTGACCAAGAAATCGCCCTTGAAAGGTGATTGTTGTATGACGTGAAATTTGGATGTGTACGATTTCATTTAAAAATACAACCCCAAAAACAAATGACTAGAAACAAACACTAACAACTATGTGATGCAAGATGACTGTCAAAATTAATGGTCTACAGTGATTTATCGACCTTGAAAACCGTCAAAATTAAGAATGACACCCCATGCACGCGTATGGGGCTACTGCGTTGTGCACGTGCATCCCATGCGTTGTGTTAAGGGGTGGTGATAAAGAGAAATGGTGGTGCGTTCATAAGATGTCCGTCTTTGAAAAGTTTGTTAACGCTTATATGTCCTATCCAAATTGAAAGTTCAGGTTCCCCTACTTTTCCTATATTTCTGTAAGTCGTCTTTTTTTGTTCTTTTATAAACCAATGAATGAAGCGTGGACTCAAATTCTTCCTATGCTTCATTTCTGAGCTAGGGTTCCCCGGTAACATACGCGTTCAAAAAAGGAACGTCACATTTATATGTTCACGCATTTTTCACGAAACAGTATTCTTGAAGTGACTGCCGAAATAGATTCTCATCGGCGTAAAAAGTAAAATAGATGAAAAGATTACTGGAGTGAGTGTAGTTTTACGCCGCTTTTCGCAATATTCCAGAAATATCACGGCGGGGACACCAGAAATGGGCTTCATGCATTGTACCCATGTGGGGAATCGAACCCGGGTCTTCGGCGTGACGAGCGAACGCTTTAACCACTTGGCTACCCCACCACCCCCAAAGATTACTGAAAATCTGCCATGACACCAGGTTATCGGGAAGACGCCGACGATGAGACTACTTCCAGATTCCCATGGAAACCTCTTGAAAATCCCTGCATCAATAAAGACAGAAGCCTGTTTCCGAATATTTCTGTATTCCTTTATACATGTATACTAGCCACATAAAGAAACTGTATATTGTCAAAATATTATCCCAGTTGATAAGTACGATAACAATGTCAAAGGTACATATAAACTTTAATGGAGGGATCATGAGACCATAACAAATCGGGAGAATTTCAATTGAAAAGTCAATCATAATGACGTCACGAGTCCACAAGCGGGACAGGGTTCCAACGACCATGTCACAAGCTCAATAACGTAGTATGTCCACCATCGGTATTGAGAACAGCAGTCCATCTACGACGCATAGAGCCTATCAAACGTGCAAGGAAGGCTTGTGGGATGTCACGCCAGATTCTCTCAAGTTCTCTAAGTTCTGTTGCAAGGTCAAGGACGTTATCTGGCGGATGAGGGAGACGACGTAGACGTCGATCCATTTCGTCCCAAACATGCTCTATCGCGGGAGAGATCCGGTGAATTTGCAGGCCAAGGCAGTACGTCAACGTTGTGGTGTTGCAAGAAATCCATAGCAACCCTTGCCGTATGAGGGCGGGCATTGTCCTGTTGGAATGTTAACCCAGGGCCATGACGTTGCAGAAAAGGAATTGCCACAGGTCGAAGAATCTGATCCCTGTAGCTCACACCAGTTAAGTTGCCCTGAACAATCACCAAAGGAGTTCTTTGGCGTGCTGTTATTCCACCCAAAATCATCACGGAACCACCGCCAAAGCGATTCCTCTCCAAGATACAGGCCTGTGCATAACGTTCTCCCACGCGTCTATAGGCAAGTTGACGTCCATCACTATGGGAAATGTTAAACCTGGACTCCATCTGTAAAACAACATTTCTCCACCAAAACAAGGGTCTGGTGGACATGATTTCGGCACCACATTCGGCGAGCTTGTCGATTACGTTGTGTCAGGATAGGCCGTATGGCGGGACGTCGTGGTCTGATCCCGTGATGACGTAAACGTTGTCGAACTGTTTTGGGGTGGATACGGCGAAGTCCTGGAATGGTTCGGGCAGTCATCACTGCAGTCTGAAACCTGTGGCGAAGATGGGTCACCCTTATCCATCTGTCCTGTCTTGGCGTTGTTACACGTGGACGTCCAGAACGTGGCCGATCGATGACGTCATTTGTGTTCTGGTAGCGTCTCACCAGTGCAGAAATGGTGTTCCGGTGGCAGTGGAAATGTGCAGCAACTTGTCGTTGAGACATCCCCCAC